AGAGCAGCTGGGGTGCTGCCGGGTTGGTCCAGTAGCGCCGAGGAGCGGCGCTGCGGGACCAATGCAGCAGCGCCCCAGCTGCTCTACCCCAGGCGTCGTGGGCAGAAAAGCCTGGTCTGCTGGGGAGTAGGGGGCACTAGCTGCGCCCCCCCTCAGCAGACCAGGGAGACGGGGAGCAGCTTTTCTCGCCCTGGAGAACGCGGGCGGTGGGACCGCAGCACATCTGGGCGTCCAGCCACTCCCGTCCTCCGGGGCGAGAAAAGCCCCGTTCGTAACTGCGGATCCGACATAAGTCGGATCCGCGTAACTCAGGGACTGCCTGTAGTGTAACTAATATATTAGAGCTCTTAAATGTGTTCTGTCTATGAAGTGTACTACACTTCATTAAACTTAAAATGCACCTTTTATACATAGGATCTACTTGACATATAATGGATATAATTTTAAGAATGTACTGTGTAGGATGTTGATAATGAAGCCATATGTTTAAGGCCTAGATATCTTTAATTTTATAAATAATCATTTTAACACTTAGCTTTCCTTTATGTTCAAGAGTATAAACAGATGTTCAACATAAAAATCAAGATGTTGTTACTTAGTTTACTCTATGGTAAGAAATCTTGAGCTTTGTTGAAATTAGTGGGAAAATGTAAACATTTTTGTTTGATTGAAGTTTATTTCACAATGACAATCAGTGTTTGAAAAACATACTAGCAAAAACAGTTGTATCAAGTGTTAATGAAAGTTGGCTTTCTGAATAATGTGTAATTGCAGTCACTTCAAGGATGCAGGGGGTTATTTTTGTTTTTTGGTATAATTGCACTCCTCATCATACAAAGAATTCTGTTTCCCTCAACTTGGAAATAAAAACTGTAAGCAACAGCTTAGCTCTTTGTCACCTTAGTTATAAAGTATAATTCAACTTTTTCCATCTTCATGGTTCCAGGAAGGAAACTGAAAGAAAATGAAGTATTTTTTAAATGCTATGAAAATTATGATTATCTGATTGGTTTTTTAATAGCAAACATGAATGTCAGTCTTCCTAATCTGCTGTAATGGCACAGCTTTCTTCAGGAAGTTCTGTGCCTTAGGAAAGGCATTTTTTCAGCAGTCTAGTTTTCAACATCATTAACAGTTACAATTAATATTTTCACTTCAATAGAAAACTGCGAAGTAGTAAGTTGTATATGATCCTAACAGCTGGCTCCATTCTTTATGGCTATTCAGTGATGTATGTACCTTATTGTTACTATATCATGTACGACATCATATGAAGAAAAGTCTGGTTATTTTAGGGAGGGTGGCCATGATGATCCATAAACTGGAAAAAGGAAACGTTGAAATGTGTAAAATATATGAAATTTATTGGTATTGCTTGGAGCATTCAGCATTAGGATGTAACAAATCTGCTTTTTTTGTACTCAGGTACCTAGTAAAAACTATGGATGTAGGAACAGATAAGAGTGACGATACAGTAGTATGTTTTTAGTAGGGATGTTAGCATATAGTGCTTAAACAATTAACCAATAAGCCCAGGTTTATTGGTTAATCCAAACTACATACACTCTTTTTCCCTCCCCTTGCAGCAAGGAGGCAGGAGCCTGCAGGAGTTGAT